ATATCATAAATTGTATGTTGATATTGACTTTAAGACTACTTTATACTAGCTACTCCGACTGTAAGATGAGTTTATATTCGGATCGCGTCGAGTGGAAACCTCATTCAGCTGATGATATATCAGAGCTGAAGTTTGTTATTTACACCGTGTGTTATTATATAGAGAAAATTAAGAGTCTACCAAGTTATAAAATTAATAGCTTAATAAAGACGAGGGCTTTTTCAGACACCATGCCTTTCTGGTTGCTCGAAGGTACATAATAAACGTGGGTATTTCCATATAATACATTCTTCGTTGTCGTGGCTTCATAAATATTGGTAAGATGGGTAATTCAAGACACGATGTCTTTGTGATTTATCTCATTGCTTCATAAAAACGTGGGCATTTCCAGACACGATGCCTTTGTGGTTTATCTCATCACTTTATAAGACATGGGCATTTCCAGACACGATGCCTTTATGGTTTATCTCATTGCTTCATAAGACATGGGCATTTCCAGACACCATGCCTTTGTGGTTTAGCTCATTGCTTTATAAGACATGGGCATTTACAGACTCCATGCCTTTATGGTTTATCTCATTGCTTTATAAGACATGGGCATTTCCAGACACCATGCCTTTGTGGTTTATCTCATTGCTTTATAAGACATGGACATTTCCAGACACGATGCATTTATGGTTTATCTCATTGCATTATAAGACATGGGCATTTCCAGACAGCATGCCTTTGTGGTTTATCTCATTGCTTTATAAGATATGGGCATTTTCTATTAATTCAGAGTAAAACTAAGTCTATAATAGCTTGGAATGAACATTTTCAGTACAGGAAACTAAATGTCACATGCACTACACATATTAATATTATAATATTTAAAAAAATAAGCACTACGTAGTATAATAAAGTATTAAAATTTGTGAAAATGAACATAGTTATAATAGTTCCTTTACTTTTTACCGATGGGATAGCACGATCGATGACGTGCAAATTGCCATTAACTATGTCATTTAAAATCATATGGTGATTAAATG